TCTACCCACAGAAGATTCCATGGAGACAAGCTAGGGGTACTGGAGACCTACTCTACACCAGGAGATTCCATAGAGACAAGCTTGGGGTACTGGAGACCTACTCTACCCACAGAAGATTCCATGGAGACAAGCTTGGGGTACTGGAGACCTACTCTACCCACAGAAGATTCCATGGAGACAAGCTAGGGGTACTGGAGACCTACTCTACACCAGGAGATTCCATGGAGACAAGCTTGGGGTACTGGAGACCTACTCTACCCACAGAAGATTCCATTGGGACTAGTTTGGGGTACTGGAGACCTACTCTACACCAGGAGATTCCATGGAGACAAGCTTGGGGTACTGGAGACCTACTCTACACCAGGAGATTCCATGGAGACAAGCTTGGGGTACTGGAGACCTACTCTACACCAGGAGATTCCATGGAGACAAGCTTGGGGTACTGGAGACCTACTCTACCCACAGAAGATTCCATGGGGACAAGCTTGGGGTACTGGAGACCTCCTCTACCCACAGGAGATTCCATGGAGACAAGCTAGGGGTACTGGAGACCTACTCTACCCACAGAAGATTCCATGGAGACAAGCTAGGGGTACTGGAGACCTACTCTACCCACAGAAGATTCCATTGGGACTAGTTTGGGGTACTGGAGACCTACTCTACCCACAGAAGATTCCATGGAGACAAGCTTGGGGTACTAGAGACCTACTCTACCCACAGAAGATTCCATGGAGACAAGCATGGGGTACTGGAGACCTACTCTACACCAGGAGATTCCATGGAGACAAGCTTGGGGTACTGGAGACCTACTCTACACCAGGAGATTCCATAGAGACAAGCTTGGGGTACTGGAGACCTACTCTACCCACAGAAGATTCCATGGAGACAAGCTAGGGGTACTGGAGACCTACTCTACACCAGGAGATTCCATAGAGACAAGCTTGGGGTACTGGAGACCTACTCTACCCACAGAAGATTCCATGGAGACAAGCTTGGGGTACTGGAGACCTACTCTACACCAGGAGATTCCATGGAGAGAAGCTTGGGGTACTGGAGACCTACTCTACCCACAGAAGATTCCATGGAGACAAGCTAGGGGTACTGGAGACCTACTCTACCCACAGAAGATTCCATGGAGACAAGCTAGGGGTACTGGAGACCTACTCTACACCAGGAGATTCCATAGAGACAAGCTTGGGGTACTGGAGACCTACTCTACCCACAGAAGATTCCATGGAGACAAGCTTGGGGTACTGGAGACCTACTCTACACCAGGAGATTCCATGGAGACAAGCTTGGGGTACTGGAGACCTACTCTACACCAGGAGATTCCATGGAGACAAGCTCGGGGTACTGGAGACCTACTCTACCCACAGAAGATTCCATGGAGACAAGCTAGGGGTACTGGAGGCCTACTCTACACCAGGAGATTCCATGGAGACAAGCTTGGGGTACTGGAGACCTACTCTACCCACAGAAGATTCCATTGGGACTAGTTTGGGGTACTGGAGACCTACTCTACACCAGGAGATTCCATGGAGACAAGCTAGGGGTACTGGAGACCTACTCTACACCAGGAGATTCCATGGAGACAAGCTTGGGGTACTGGAGACCTACTCTACACCAGGAGATTCCATGGAGACAAGCTTGGGGTACTGGAGACCTACTCTACCCACAGAATATTCCATGGGGACAAGCTTGGGGTACTGGAGACCTACTCTACCCACAGAAGATTCCATAGAGACAAGCTAGGGGTACTGGAGACCTACTCTACACCAGGAGATTCCATGGAAACAAGCTTGGGGTACTGGAGACCTACTCTACACCAGGAGATTCCATGGAGACAAGCTTGAGGTACTGGAGACCTACTCTACCCACAGAAGATTCCATGGGGACAAGCTAGGGGTACTGGAGACCTACTCTACACCAGGAGATTCCATGGAGACAAGCTAGGGGTACTGGAGACCTACTCTACACCAGGAGATTCCATGGAGAGAAGCTTGGGGTACTGGAGACCTACTCTACCCACAGAAGATTCCATGGAGACAAGCTAGGGGTACTGGAGACCTACTCTACCCACAGAAGATTCCATGGAGACAAGCTAGGGGTACTGGAGACCTACTCTACACCAGGAGATTCCATAGAGACAAGCTTGGGGTACTGGAGACCTACTCTACCCACAGAAGATTCCATGGAGACAAGCTTGGGGTACTGGAGACCTACTCTACCCACAGAAGATTCCATGGAGACAAGCTAGGGGTACTGGAGACCTACTCTACACCAGGAGATTCCATGGAGACAAGCTTGGGGTACTGGAGACCTACTCTACCCACAGAAGATTCCATTGGGACTAGTTTGGGGTACTGGAGACCTACTCTACACCAGGAGATTCCATGGAGACAAGCTAGGGGTACTGGAGACCTACTCTACACCAGGAGATTCCATGGAGACAAGCTTGGGGTACTGGAGACCTACTCTACACCAGGAGATTCCATGGAGACAAGCTTGGGGTACTGGAGACCTACTCTACCCACAGAAGATTCCATGGGGACAAGCTTGGGGTACTGGAGACCTCCTCTACCCACAGGAGATTCCATGGAGACAAGCTAGGGGTACTGGAGACCTACTCTACCCACAGAAGATTCCATGGAGACAAGCTAGGGGTACTGGAGACCTACTCTACCCACAGAAGATTCCATTGGGACTAGTTTGGGGTACTGGAGACCTACTCTACCCACAGAAGATTCCATGGAGACAAGCTTGGGGTACTAGAGACCTACTCTACCCACAGAAGATTCCATGGAGACAAGCATGGGGTACTGGAGACCTACTCTACACCAGGAGATTCCATGGAGACAAGCTTGGGGTACTGGAGACCTACTCTACCCACAGAAGATTCCATTGGGACTAGTTTGGGGTACTGGAGACCTACTCTACACCAGGAGATTCCATGGAGACAAGCTAGGGGTACTGGAGACCTACTCTACCCACAGAAGATTCCATGGGGACAAGCTAGGGGTACTGGAGACCTACTCTACCCACAGAAGATTCCATGGAGACAAGCTAGGGGTACTGGAGACCTACTCTACACCAGGAGATTCCATAGAGACAAGCTTGGGGTACTGGAGACCTACTCTACCCACAGAAGATTCCATGGAGACAAGCTTGGGGTACTGGAGACCTACTCTACACCAGGAGATTCCATGGAGAGAAGCTTGGGGTACTGGAGACCTACTCTACCCACAGAAGATTCCATGGAGACAAGCTAGGGGTACTGGAGACCTACTCTACCCACAGAAGATTCCATGGAGACAAGCTAGGGGTACTGGAGACCTACTCTACACCAGGAGATTCCATAGAGACAAGCTTGGGGTACTGGAGACCTACTCTACCCACAGAAGATTCCATGGAGACAAGCTTGGGGTACTGGAGACCTACTCTACACCAGGAGATTCCATGGAGACAAGCTTGGGGTACTGGAGACCTACTCTACACCAGGAGATTCCATGGAGACAAGCTCGGGGTACTGGAGACCTACTCTACCCACAGAAGATTCCATGGAGACAAGCTAGGGGTACTGGAGGCCTACTCTACACCAGGAGATTCCATGGAGACAAGCTTGGGGTACTGGAGACCTACTCTACCCACAGAAGATTCCATTGGGACTAGTTTGGGGTACTGGAGACCTACTCTACACCAGGAGATTCCATGGAGACAAGCTAGGGGTACTGGAGACCTACTCTACACCAGGAGATTCCATGGAGACAAGCTTGGGGTACTGGAGACCTACTCTACACCAGGAGATTCCATGGAGACAAGCTTGGGGTACTGGAGACCTACTCTACCCACAGAAGATTCCATGGGGACAAGCTTGGGGTACTGGAGACCTACTCTACCCACAGAAGATTCCATAGAGACAAGCTAGGGGTACTGGAGACCTACTCTACACCAGGAGATTCCATGGAAACAAGCTTGGGGTACTGGAGACCTACTCTACACCAGGAGATTCCATGGAGACAAGCTTGAGGTACTGGAGACCTACTCTACCCACAGAAGATTCCATGGGGACAAGCTAGGGGTACTGGAGACCTACTCTACACCAGGAGATTCCATGGAGACAAGCTAGGGGTACTGGAGACCTACTCTAGCCCAGGAGATTCCATGGGGACAAGCTTGAGGTACTGGAGACCTACTCTACACCAGGAGATTCCATGGAGACAAGCTTGGGGTACTGGAGACCTACTCTACCCACAGAAGATTCCATAGAGACAAGCTTGGGGTACTGGAGACCTACTCTACACCAGGAGATTCCATGGAGACAAGCTTTGGGTACTGGAGATCTACTCTACCCACAGGAGATTCCATGGGGACAAGCTTGGGGTACTGGAGACCTACTCTACACCAGAAGATTCCATGGGGACAAGCTTGGGGTACTGGAGACCTACTCTACACCAGAAGATTCCATGGGGACAAGCTTGGGGTACTGGAGACCTACTCTACCCACAGAAGATTCCATGGGGACAAGCTTGGGGTACCGGAGACCTACTCTACACCAGTAGATTCCATGGGGACAAGCTTGGGGTACTGGAGACCTACTCTACCCACAGAAGATTCCGTGGGGACAAGCTCGGGGTACTGGAGACCTACTCTACCCACAGAAGATTCCATGGGGACAAGCTCGGGAAGTTATTGTTACTCTCAATATTCAATAGTGTTTGTTTGTTTGTTTGTTGTTTAACTCCGCACTCAGCAATATTCCAACTATATGACGCCGGTTTGTAAATAATCGAGTCGGGACCAGACAATCCAGTGATCCATGCATCAACCAAGTCAGCGAGCCTGACCACCTGATCCCGTTAGTCGCCTCTTACGACCAGCAAAGTTGCCTTTTACAGCAAACATGGGTTGCTGAAGTCCTATTCTACCCCGGATCTTCACGGGTACAATAGTATCTGTGAATTGACAAGCTGTTACAACAGTATATTCCAAACTGGCCTTACATCTGAAATGGACTCATCACAGGTGAGCATGATGACTGCGCGGCGCCCTTCCCCACTGCAGTGGCGGTTGTAGGTTTTTCCTCCCAGGTACTCCAAGTACAACCAATCAGCTGACAGAACATGCAATGTGTCCATTTAATATTCAACTTCATCAATTTCATTTTTTTATCATTTACACAAAATGTTCCCAAGAACGGAACATGCAATGTTGTTGATTAAGAAATACATATTTGTCCATTTAATATTCATCTTCTTTAACATGTTTAATTTCATTTTTTTTATCATTTACACAAAATGTTCCCAAGAACAGAACATGCAATGTTGTTGATTAAGAAATAAGAATTTGTCCATTTTATGGTTCGTCTTCACCAATTTCATTTCTTCTTTTGGTTCCAGTGTTTGATGTGTGCACAAGCATCTTTACAGTTAGGTCACATCAAGAGATTTTGACTAACACAGCCAGTTGTTATTCCAGAGATATGTCAGAGTGAGTGATGAAGTTTGGTTAACGCCACTTTGAGGTGAGGTGAAATGGGGTATAACCGAAAACGTAGTGTTCAAGATTATTGCACTTATATAGCGATGTGCATGCACGTCTTTGAGTATGTGTGTGCGTGTGTGCGTGTGTGTGTGTGTGCATGTGAGTGAGTGAGTGAGTGAGTATGGTTTTACGCCGCTTTTAGCAATATTCCAGCAATATCACGGCGGGGGACACCAGAAATGGGCTTCACACATTGTACCCATGTCGGGAATCGAACCCGGGTCTTCGGCGTGACGAGCGAACGCTTTAACCCCTAGGCTACCCGACCGCCCCTGTGTGTGCATGTGTGTCTGTGTGCATGTGTGTCTGTGGTTCCTTGTTCTAGCCTAGATTAATGCCGATTTTATATTGCTAGCCCACTGAGATACCATGCCACAGTTTAACATGAATACCCCACTCAGACACAGTATACTGACTCAAAGGGACCAGTCCTTGTTCAGCCCCTTAATGCCGAGCGCCAGACAGGGTAACAACAAGTACCATCTTTTAATGTCTGGCATGACGTGGCCGGGGATCAAACCACGGACCTTCCAATCTCCGGGCAGACGCTCTACCACTAGACGACAGAGGCGGTCAACGCCACTTGAAACAGAGTTTCAGTCAATATCACAGTGTGTCAGCTTGATGTTTGTCACTCTGGGGAAACCCACAAGAATGGGTATAGTTCTGACAAACCTAGAAACATAATCAGGGCAATCAGATTCGAACCATGATTCTGGCACGCCTAGGAGACACAACTCCTCACAGCCAATTGGGTACCTTAGTCAACTGGGCCACCGGGGCCCCTTTCCAAGTCCTATGTAAGAGTGAATGAGTGAGTTTGGTTTTGCACTGCTTTTAGCAATATTCCAGCAAATTCACAGCAGAGGGAGTCATATGTTAGGAACATTCCCTGGCAGGACTTGATTCAACTTGCACTAGGTGCTTGTTGACAAGTAACCCTAGTTGCACAAGTCGAAACAAGTTTGCACCCAGGCAAACTAATTTGGCAACAGTACTTAAAGTTGAACAAACACATTCATTGATGCAAATTCTGTCTAAACATTGCATATACTGTATTCGACGTAATAAGCGCCCAGGGCGCTCTCAAAATTGAAAATAGGGGGCTCTTATTAGAATATTATTTTGGTGAAAAAAAAGAGAGTTGAAAGATAAATTTCGTGGTTTATGCTGACAGCCTAAATGTTTATGTACGACAGATATATTTTTCCTGAATTTAATTGCCCATAATCAAGGGTGCATATAACACAAGAGTGCGTATTATACAGGATAAATAAGTCGTGTGTACATTGATTAATCGGAAGGGGTGCTTATTGGGATTTTTCACCAGCCAATATCTTAGCAAATGTCGCCGTGGATGCTTATTAGAGTGGGGCGCTTATTACGTCGTATATGGTAATAATTCCATTGTTGCTACATCATGAACATCCATTAAAAAACATTATAGCTAAAATGGATAGAATTATCATTAAACCACCCTCATGTTATCAGAAATCAGCGGGCCACTGTAACTTGATAATGCCCTCATATTGCTTGACGATGGGCCATTATCAAATCCGTTGTTAGGTGATGTCATAGGATAGGGGTAGGTGACGTCATATTGTCAATTCTTTTTGTTTGATAACAAATTCCATCCATTTTAGCCATAATAACAGTAACGCTATTTTTCAGGGCATTATCATTTGCAGAAGCCCCCAGTCTTTTCAAATGACCTCCTTCATCGGGCAGTTAATGGAAGACCTCGGGCTACTGCAAATGATAATGCCCTGAAAAATAGCTTTACCCTTATAGTATTTTCATGTTTTGCAGTATATCTTGTTTTCAATGATTATTGTTAAGCCCAATTGTTGGGGACCTGTTCAATCAACTTACTTCCAGATATAATGTCTGCATTGTTGTAGAGTCCCAGCACAACAGGATCATTGTCAGGATGCTTCTTCTCAACCTGCACTGCACCTGCTTTATCCACCCCGCCCGCGGGAGCACAGATGGCAACAGTATACGTATACTCTCCCTTGGGATCAGTTACTTTGTAGCTGGAAACACAGGAGTGAGTGAGTTAGTGAGTGAGTTGGGTTTAATGCTGCTTTTTACAGTATTACGGTTATATCGCGGCATGTCAGCTTAATGTGGGAGGCAAGCCCAAAGTGATGCAGGTCTCAGACGTTTACCACTTCAGTGAAACCCACAAACACGGGCATGGTGCTGAAGAACCTAGAAACCTAATCGGGGCGAACCAGGATTTGAACCCACAACCATAGGTTTCTGGCACGCCCAAGGGACGCAACTCTGCATAGCAAATTGAGGCGCGTTAGACGACTGGGCCACCCGTGCCTCCTGGAAACACACGAAGTAAAGTAGGAACATACTCATCAAAACATTGTTTCCTTTTAAATACTGTATTCACCTTATTAAACGCTCTGCTCGCATAATCGCCCTCTGAACAACTAATAGACAAATCTGTAGGCAATCTATATAAGTAACCCTTCTAACTTCTAAGACTGAAAGATTACATGACCGTCAGTATTTCTTGTGTATAGTACATATTTTTACAGTAAACAGCAGCACAGAATGGGTATATATTTACCTAGTAACCTAGTAACAATGTTTAATTAACGTTTGAACTAAGTTTTTCATTGTCGCTTGATTTCTGCATATGCTTTAAATAAGCGTCCTCCTTTGTCAATGCGCCCAGGGTGCTTATTACGGCGAAAAGGGGCGGTCGGGTAGCCTAGTGGGGTACCCTAGTTCGATCATCACGCCGAAGACCCGGGTTCGATTCCCGACATGGGTACATTGTGTGAAGCCCATTCCTGGTGTCCCCCACCGTGATATTGCTGGAATATTGCTAAAAGCAGCGTAAAACTATACCCACTCACTTATTACGGCGACTATGGTAGTATAAATTAGAGTACAAGATCAGATCTAAACTACGGTTATAACGAATAGAAGGGACTACTAATATAGTTTGTGATAAACGTAGTTCGTTATTAGCGTATAAACAGCATTTATACAACAAACGGTCGGGACGAAAAATATGTTCGTTATATCGGTCCGTTTGTTATAAACGTGTTCGTTATAACCGTAGTTTACTGTATTAAATTCCCCACGCATTAACACAACTCAGACTAGGGGCATCAGTGATTGGAAAGCTTAGTAACAATAGATAAACCTTTCCTATCTAGACCCGTCATTAATCAACTTATTTATCGATACACTGACATCCCTGGTTTGGATGAGATAGTCTTTATTTTGGTTTGAGCATGGAATGCTGTACCAGAATCAATCAGTTTAACAAGCCATTAACCAGGGATGTGTGCAGCTTTTCCCGAAAAAAGAGGAAAAGTCTAGGGGGGTCTGGGGGCATGCCCTCCCAGAAATTTTTAAAACATTTGATTGCATTTTAAGCAATTTTGTGCAGTTTGGACAACATTCACACCAAGAAATGTAATAAGTCAATGGCAAAAGTCAATAAGTCAAATAAACAAGATGCCAGATTTCGAAGTTAAATCAGTACTTTTAAAAAATCGGGCATAGCTTTCCCGCACCTGGCTACCCGCCAGGTCTGGGAGCAATACTGCCATAAACTTCAACCCCCATCCCCCAGACACAAGGACAACTGTCACAAGCGTGCAATGTCTGACCCTTTCCCCATGTTGAAGCATATTGAAAAAAACTTACCTTGTACTTACCTTTTGATGGAAAAAACAAAACTCCATTGCAAACATAAGACATTAATACAACATATATCCCCATGACGGGGTTTTGGACGCTGAAGAAACATTCATAGTTTTTTCGCTTATCACATGAACAACTGTAAAACATCTCATTCACTTACAGGCTAAAAGACAACTTATCTTAAAAACAAGCCATCAGCTGACTCTGAGTATTTACAATTTCTGTGTGATGCCACACCCCACGTCATAGTGCAAGTATTCGTGACAGAAAACGTATGATGTCCGAAAACATATGCTGGTGAAAGCCATGATCGAAAACAGGACAATCCGCGCCAAATGTCCGGTTTTCGATCATATTTTTCGGAGTGTTTTTTTTAATTTTTTAATTAAATTTTTACGCGGATGATGATTTTTTTCCGAGGACTACAGTTTTAAAAAACGCGATTTTCCGCGTTTCCGCGGAGATTTCACATCCCTGATTAACAATGAACATGCTCAAGCCATTATTACAAAGTAGACCAAATAGTATCTAACCTTCTCATTCTTGTCTGCAATCCTGTGTGTTAATAGTGTTAACGATGTGATATGAAAGTCTTCATGTATGGGCTTTCAGAGCTCCAGATAAGCTTTTGGTGCTGTGGGTATTTTACCCATGCATGTTAAAATCATTGGGTATCAGTAATTCTATCTGCGTATTCAAATTTCTGTTACCCACTAGTTTTTACACATGTGGGTATTTAAGTTAAATATTTTAAAACACTATTCATCTAGTCCCTGCAAACTGGTGTCGTGTGGGTTTGAGAGCTTTATAGGACTCAAAAATACCACGATACTTCCACACGAAAGTGTGATGGCAAATGATCATGATGTGACTGTCATCGTGGAGTTTGGCAAGGTTGACGGAATGCCCGTTTATAATTTTCAAAATAAGTTGCTGATTTGCTAATCGAATACGCAGGGTTACTTCACAATATTTTGATGATACGCACAAATTTTATTTTTGTAGCGTATCTGTAATGTTCGTTGCGTATTTGATATGCTTGGATTATATTTTACTGCGTATTTCTGCATTTCTGATGCGTATTTCACGCAGATACGCAGCTTATCTGGATCTCTGGGCTTTGGATGAGAATGTGAGTTAGTGATATCAGAGCTACAGATAAGCAGTGTATTTGCGTAAAATACTCCCCCAAAATATTCAAACCCAATTACTTTCAATTAACTTCAATACAGAAACGCGTGCATTAAAGGAAAAACTCCAATGTATATAAATAGCTGGCGTAAATACCCAATGAAGATTTTTCAGCATGCGCACAAAGGAGCTAATTACCAAAACACAATTACGAGATAATTTACTTTCCGAGTCGAGCCTATATATCTAGAACAGGTACATACATCTAAAACATAATTTCATTTTGTTCAATCTTAAAATGTTCACTCATTAGGGGAAAACCCAACAGAGTGATGAATAAATGAGTGAAAAAATATTGGTTACCCATTAAAAAATGTAATAACCCAATTAAAATAGAAACTCTAATGTAAAAACTCAATTGCTCAAAAAGTTATCTGGAGCTTTGTTATATGCACAAATCATCCCAATAAAGTCACAAGTCCAAAGCCCAAGTCTAGTTAATTTCTGTTTGGTCTAGTAACCTCAGCTTATAACCATCTAAACAGTAATACGGGGGCACGGGTGGCCCAGTCGTCTAAGGCGCCGCGATTCGCTGTGCAGAGTTGCGTCCCTTGGGCACGCCAGAAACCAATGATTGTGGGTTCGAATCCCGGTTCGCCCCGATTATGTTTCTAGGTTTGTCAGCACCATACCCGTGCTCGTGGGTTTCACCGAAGTGGTAACTGTCTGAGACCTGCATCGCTTCGGGCTTTCCTCCCACATTAAGCTGACACGCCGCGATATAACTGTAATACTGTTAAAAGCGGCGTTAAACCCAACTCACTCACTCACTCACTAAACAGTAATACCGGTACCAAAATCTATTGAAAACGATGCTAAGAACTTACAGACTCAAAACAGACTACTATAGTACTCACGGAAATGAAAAAACCTTGTTTTTCTCAATTTAAAAATCGACACAAAGTGTTACGTAGGTGTAAATACGAAATAACAAAACAACTCGAAAAGTACTAGTCTGGATTTGCTAGTTTGATCTCAGTGAACAATACAAAATGTACTTTACAGGAAGTAATTTGTCGGCACTTTCAACATTCAAAAATAAAAAGTCCAACTTGACATAGCAGAAACAGACTATAGGCATTATGCACCTGTTCTCACCTGTTGTCAAGGTATCATAGGTCACCTTGATCTACTTACACCTGGTTATGCCCTGTTTCACAATAGTCTGTTTTATTCACATTACGTGTAAAAAGGCATAAAAACATTTGATACGCTGTATTTGTGCCACGGCCCAATTAGTACTAATTTAGTTGTTTGAATATTTACATATTTTGTATATTAACTGCTTTTATTTAAGATCTGAGGTCGAAAAAACAGGGTTTTTTCATTTCCGTGAGTACTTTAATATTGATTAGAATTCATGATCAATTATGCATCACAAAAAACTGATCTTTATTCATTGCACATTAAAATGCTTTCTAAACACATGAAATTTGGGTTACCGTATTCGACATAATAAGCGCCCAGGGCAATCTCAAAATTAGAAATAGGGGGCTCTTATTAGAATATTATTTTGGTGAAAAACAACAGAGTTGAAAGATCTTACATTTCGTGGTTTATGCTGACAGCCTGAAATGTTTATATACGACAGATATATTTTTCCATAATTTAATTTCCCATAATTAAGGATGCATCTAACATACGTATTATACAAGAATAAATATGTCTTGTGTACATTGATCAATCAGAAGGGGTGCTGATTGGGATTGTTCACTAGCCAATATATTAGCAAATATCGCCATGGGCGCTTATTACGTCGAATACGGTATTACCGGTACATGTAATTTATAAACCTACTGCCACTTTTGCCCTAGTATTGCAGGTATCTTGCTATCTCACAGTAACCTTGTAAGACGTACTTCTTTCATGTGAGACCTACTCAGAGGTTTAACATTTGAATTGTGGTCTTTGCATCGCCCGCTGTTATAAAATTTGTTTCATACCCAATTTAATTAAAATCAGATCGTAGTTCTCGCTACCGCTAAACAAAAATCTGAGGACATCCCATTAGGGGTCACGTCAGAACGACCTTTCATCCGACCAATCAGAACGTAGCTTACCAGACCATGAAAGTGACAGTTATTTGATAGCGCCTGTGGTTTCGCGGTATAGCATTGGCTCATTAGATTAACAGAGCACCTTTAGAATACAGTACCACAACTCTGCCGTAGGTCATATGTCTCAAAGACAAGCCACCAGTTTTAATGAGAATCCGTCGGATGCCAACTCGCAACCTTCGGATTGTTAGCCCGACAGCTAACCAACTGAGCTATGTCCACACTGTGATACTAAGTGCAAATTTACCTAGTCATGGCTATGACGTTACAAAACTGTTTGAAAAGGGTCGAATAGGTGACGGACACTTACGAAGGTTACGGGTAGGCATGGTGTCTCGTGACTTTAGTCTACGGACACTTACGAATGATCCCGATGCCATTTGGCACACTCTTCCCATTCCGTAATCTACAAGATACCGGGTGGTGAGGAATGTGCCGACATGGCGCGAACTGAAAACGGCTTCAGGCGTCAGACATCAAACTCGCGAGTACGCATGAATGACATGTTATTTCATAATTTGTCGGGTGATTTTTGTGACAGAAAAGTGTGGTAGGGAACACTGTAAGGATGATGTGGATAATAGTAAGGAAAGAGGGAGGCATGAGCATGGTTAGTGACGACACAACGGTAAATTCGCTTTTGAATCAGTTCTGAAAAAAAGTAGCGGGTGAAAGTGGCTTGTGTGAATGTTCCATGACAGTTTCCAGTAGCCAAAATATTCGACACAAAATCATTTCATCCTTTTTACTCGACGTTTTTGTGTGGAGAATATTAGGAGTTGCTATAGAATCTATAATAGCCACTAAACAGGTACCTAACCCCAATGATCGTAAAGGGGTGATTGATCGTAAAGGGGATCCAAGGGCTAAGGATAGAGTTCGGGGTAACCTACCCTAACACTGGAGACATTTGGATGTGTTCAGCGCCAATATAATATCCCTAATAAACTGCATTCTTGTGCATAATAATGAAAATTAATGAACCAGAAAAAATAATAAATGTATATTAGTTCCCATTTATAACAATGTTAGCGACCTGAATTACGAGAAAAACTAAAAAATTAATAATATTTAAAAAATAAAAGTACTTTCATAAATTAGCGCTTGCTCTAAAATGTGCTGCCGCAGGCTATATTTAGTAAACACATATTCAAAACTCTCAACACCACTGGGCATATGCAATAACATTGCTTGTAGAGATGATAGATCACTGGGAGGAGCTTATGCACAATCAATGACCCCAGACGTCACAGGGCATTGTTTCGCCAGCGTGACTGGCAACAAAAAACTACAAATTATGTCATAGGGTATTGTCATGTGTTTGAAAAGTTTGTGGTACTGTATTCTAAAGGTAGGCCAGATTATATCATTATCTCCGCTTCAAGCTGGCAAAGTGAGTTTGATCCTCCCTGCAGTGCTAACTGAAATCCGAAAAAAAGTGTGGCTGGTAAAGTGCACTATTCCCTAATGTTAAAGGATAAAGCGGGGCACAGCTTACTATATTGCAAACTGCCTCAGGCTGCCCACTCGCTCTTGCTTCACAGATCTTGCAATCTCTTCGATCCTTAAGGTTAGTGAGTGAGTGAGTATTGTTTTACAACACTTTTAGTAATATTCCAGCAATATCACGGCAGGGGACACCAGAAATGGGCTTCACATATTGTACCCATTTTGGGAATCGAACCCAGGTCTTCGGTGTGACGAGCGAACGCTTTAACCACTAGGCTACTCGACCGTCCCCTTAAGGTTAGTAATGTTAGGGTTAAGGTAGGTTACCCCCAACTCTGTCCTTAACCCTTGTATCCCTTTCCGATCAAGCACCTCTTTACGTTCATTAGGGTTAAGTACCTCTTCTCGATCAAACACCCTTTCACGATCCTAAGGTTTGGGCACCACTCCCCCAAAGATGCACAACCCTGAGAGTCAGACTCCCAACAAGGACAGACATTTGAAGCCAAGATAGCAAACGGTATCAGCGAATGGGGTCAGTATTGTTAGCAGCCCAGTAAACTGCGACATTTCCCAGTTAAAAATAAACAACATTCACATTAATTCAAAAAGGCACCTTTTTCCAATGAATGGTTTTAGTTTGGGATAATCCTTCTTAGATCCAGCGTAGTGTGGAAACGAACATCCTGCGGCTGCAATGTCTCCTCCAATGGGTTCCAGAAATGACAATATGTGCACAATTGAAATTACTAATATAATCACACTTTTCATTGTAGTAGCGAATATGGCAAATATGTTAACAATATATAACAGGAAATACCAATACTATTTCTCCGATCACTTTCCACCACGACAAACCAGGAAGTCCATGTGATGTTAACAACAGCACCGGGCACGCTCTGTTTCTTTATGTTGATTGGCCCACAGTTCTTACTGGTTCATGGTTATTGATGCGCTGCGTCCAATTTCAGAGCAGGAACTCGTCTTTTTGTTTTTCGTTAGTGAGTATATGTTTATATTCAGAACACACGCTGAAAATCATGAAATAAACCACTTTAGTCAATTCCCGAGAGAGAAAAGTTCATTATATTCGTACTATGTATTTACCCTCTGTCCTATTCCACACAATAAATGCCTGCCCCCGAGTAAACATTTGAAGGCATCTTCAGTGTTATTACTAATAATACTTAAGGTGACATTGTGGACACTGTAACTGATTTATGTTTGTGTTAACATCGCACTCGCAAATAGCCCAGCTTTATGACGGCGGCATGTAAACTAATGTTTCATATATATACCGTATTCGACGTAATAAGCACCCAGGGCGCTCTCAAAATTATAAATAGGGGCTCTTATTAGAATATAATTTTGGTGAAACAGTCGAAAGATCGTAAATTTTATGGTTTCTGCTGACAGTCTGAAATGATACAAAAGAAAAGTCTGTGCGTATTAAACACGACAGATATATTTTTCCAGAATTTAATTGCCCGTAATTAAGGGTATAAGGTATTATAACACATGAGTGCGTATCATACACGAATAAAAGTACACGAAGTGTGTACATTGATCAGTCGGAAGGGTGCTATTTGGGATTGTTCACCAGCCAATATATTGGCAAATATCGCCGTGGGCGCTTATTACGTCGAATACGGTATACATGGAATATCGCCCTATGGTATGTTCTCGGCAGGCAGTGGCTGCAGGCACACGCATGCTGGTCTTATTGCAATATTCAAGCAGCCGTTACCATATCTCCTCGTCGCTTAAAATCGTTTTTTAAACACATGGGCATTAATAAATCACCCCCTGAAAAAATAAAGGTTACTTATATACCCGTTGATAAAAATGCATGTTTGATCGTAGTTTACCCTAGAAATGCTATCCATCAAAAGAACTGCCATGTTTCAAGCAGATTCTGTCGCCAAAACGCACGTGTAGCATGTTACCCTCAGCCTTCAAAAAAAGCACTCATCTCGACCAGAATGGCTATATACTAGTAAATTGGCAGCTTTCGAGACATAACTCAGCGTTTGAGAACAGGGCACGGAGAAGGCTGCCAGAGGTACTTTCTTTCTTTGCTTCTTTGCTTGTTGTTTAACGCTGCACTCGGCGATATTCCAGCTATATGACGGCTCGGCATGTGTGCCACAGGAATGTCATTCAAAGCTATTGGACGACAACTTGGCTGTAACCATACTGTGATTAGCGGACTTGTTAGATAGCTCCGACAGACACATCATCATTCGTCACCACTCGCCCCTTTCCGTAACCTGCAAGAAGTTCGGCTTGTCCCAGAATAACACGAGTTGGTCACGAATGACACGTCATGTTAAGGACAGCCCAAACCTGGGCAACCCCGAAAGTTTTGTTTGTTTGTTTGTTTGTTGTTTAACGCCGCACTCAGCAATATTCTAGTTATATGACGACGGTCTGTAAATAATCGAGTCATGACCAGACAATCCAGTGATTGACATCATGAGCATCGATCCACGCAATTGGGATGCAATGACATGCACTAGCCAAGTCAGCGAGCCTGACCACCCTATCCCGTTCGTCGCCTTTTACGACAAGCATGGGTTGCTGAAGACCTATTCTACCCCGGTTTCCAGCTAAATGACGGCGGTCTGTCAATAATCGAAACTGGACATCATTTCTGCGAACAAAAGCTATCGACACTTTGCCTTGGCCCCCTGTGAGTCCAAATTTTAAGCCATTGGAACATGTTTGGGACATTCTTGTACGTCGGCTGCAGGCAATGAATCTACAAGTGCAGAATCTGGCAGTTTTGTAGCGGCTGCATAGTATCTGAAGTGGCAGTAGCTGTTACGTACATATGTTTGTTTGTTTGTTTGTTTGTTGTTTAACTCAGCAGACGGCGGTCTGTAAATAACCAAGCCTGACCACCCGACCCCGTTAGTCGCCATTTACGACAAGCATAGTCTCCTTTTACGGCAAGTATGGGTTGCTGAAGACCTATTCTACCCCGGATCTTCACGGGTCATGTACATATGTAATCTATATACGTCTTGACCGTCACTGGGGGAACGAGAAGGGCAGAGACTGTCCCCCGGTACGTGGCGGTTACACTCGCCACTGAGTTTAAGGATTTGGATTGTCTTTATGAGATTCCAATGAATGTTTTCGGACAGCAACGGGTATTTATACCCAATCTTACAGCCTTCCAGATCCATGGTCATTGTGGTTCCCGTTTCGACTCATTATCCATCATTATGTGTGTTATGTTACAGATGACATTTACTTTCCCACTATTTTTCAGTGATACCATGTTGTTAGACATACATGGTCTAAAAACGAGTGAGTGTGTGTGTGTGCGCGTGTGTGTGTGTGTGTGTGCGTGTGACATAATGTGACAAATTGCTTTCCAGGTGTGTACCGATCGACCGCGCTGAAGGAATTCCAGGGAGATTCAGTGCCGTAGCCCCCCCCCCCCCCCCCCCCCCCCCCCCCCCCCCCACCGGATTTTTTTATAGAAAACATTTTTCCTTGTGAAAGTTAACTTGAATAAGAAATGAAAAATCTTATTTGCGCCCCCCCCCCCCCCCCCCCCTACCGCCTTGAGAGTCAAAGTGGCCACGTGGCCACATTTCTTAAGATAACCGGAAGTAGAGTGAGTTGGGTTTACCGCCGCTTTTAACACTATTCAAGTTTGATGAAATGCACGGGCATGGTGCTAAAAAAACATAATCAAGTCGAACTGGGATTCGAATCCACAATCATAGTTCCCTGGTGTACCCAAGGGACGCAACTCTGAACAGCGAAATACTTTCTTACACACTGATAGTTGCAGGACTCAGACGTTTACCACTTTGGTGAAACCGACGAGTATGGAGCTAACAGACCAAGAAACATAATCGGGGCGAACTGAGATTTGAACCCACGATCATAGGTTCCTGGCGTGCCCAGTGGACGAAACTCTGCACAGCGAATTGCGGCGCCTAAGATTTGTTTGTTTGTTTTTTGTTTAACTCTGCACTCAGCAATATTCCAGCTATATGCCCGCGGTCTGTAACTAATCGAGTCTGGACCAGGCAATCCAGTGATTGACATCATGAGCATCGATCCACGCAGTTGGGATCGATGACATGCATCAACCAAGTCAGCGAGCCTGACCACCCGACCCCGTTAGTCGCCTCTTACGACAAGTATTGTCTTCTTTTACGACAATTTAAGCATGGGTTGCTGAAGATATATTCTACCCCGGATCTTCACGGGTCGCGGCGCCTAAGACGCCTATGTCACCCCTGACCCCGTCGTTATCGGATCTTGTAGAGGACCAATATTAGGCTTTTGTAGACCTGCCTTTCTGAATGAATCCGAGGACCTTAAAATATTCTAATATTTTTTCCAAAAGTTTTAACTCCACTAGTAAATATTTCAAGTGATATCCCACATACACGTTGTCGTGTATAGTGTTTAATTATCCTTTTCGAAGTAGGAATTTCATGTTTTGAAGCATTCTGACAAAAATATCCCGTCTCTAACAAACTCAAAGAGAATTCCAATCTGATTTGAACATGGTCGTAATGACAGCTATGTTGAATTTGTGATCTGCATCAACAATCAGTCACCAAACATACCCTGTTATTTATACACCCTAACCTAAAAATAATCACCTTGCGCAGATGTTGCGCGTGTGTGAACTCTTTGCAAAAACCTCTTATGAAGACTTTCACTCCGGCAACAAACATATAAATGACGTCAATTACATATACATATCTGTACACCAAAACACCCAATCAGTATTGCAAGTGGCATTGCTACCCCATAACCGTCATACACCTGAAGCTGTTTCGCCCCCTTTCACCCTACCACTCTCAATGGCCCGTGGGTTTCCGGGTTAGAATAGGTCCCCAGTTACCTATGGTGGTTGTACAGTCGACTTAGTGGATCGGCTAGATCGACTCGAATACTTGGTTTATTGCGTGTCATCGTACTCCGACGGCGTGATCACAACATCGATCGCTGGATTGTCTGGTCCAGACTCGGTTATGTACAGGCCACCGTCATACAGCTTGAATATTGCTGAGTGTGGCGTTAAACGACAAACAATCAGTCAGCAATCAATAGTCTCAACGGAAGGCCAACATCACCTAACACCCATCTGTAAACGTCTTTTAGCCTCTACGTATCTATAATAAAATAGCGACAAAACCCTTTCCATATTCATAAGAATTCTCTGCTAAAAGCAGACGTACGATTCCGACTATATATCATGATCATGTGTTCATGAATCACTATCAAATAGTAATGATACCAGGTGTCCGTGAAAAGGTGATAGAATCATCCTGCCCCACCGGTAGCACCCGTAAGAAACACACGCAAAGGCAAGTTAATTGTTCACCTGGAAAAACACGGGAACGGACATCCATATGAAGCAATACTCTGACGTGATGAACGTTAACTGTATATGAAGACTATGATCCATCATCCCAGCAATGGTGTCGCAGGGATTTACCGAAGCCTGTGTAATTGCGAGTCCTGGGGACTCGGTAATGAATTTTGGGGGTCCCGGGAATATATTCGGGTACCAGCTTAGTGACCACTGTACCAACAGCAAATAAACATACAAAATATGTGTGAGGCCGTTTGCTTCTTTCAGAAAGGGATTTTCCTGTTTGAAACGGAATTCAATTACTGAGTAAAGAAATCTGACTTGGAATGTCCGAACATTGATACAGAAATATCATGCAAATCGGACTTATAGTTTAAATTTAATGATCCCAGCATCCATATACCTGTGTGTCCAATGGATATTATTTGCGTATATTCATAATTGTTATGCGTACGCAATATTTTGCCCCCGGTAAAACCCTGGTGTCTCTACAAATTTTGATACCAGAATTCTGATCCGATTCTTTGTGCATGTCTCAGTATA